TTGACACGTTTTCTACTTATCGATAAAGTTGCCAAGTCGGAGCGATATAACGTTCGCAGACGGTTGCATTCTACTATATTTCTTAAGCTTTAATTTGGCTTCTATCTAAATTAATGAGATAAATTCTGTTAATGGTTTTCGTTCGAAAAAGTGCAACATATGCCTACCCTATGCTGAATATTCAAGAACCTATATCGGGGAGGGCACTGTCAAGACTAAGACATTGCGATTTTTGGATTCTTATTGCACATACCAAGCAAATAGGGAATTGTTTTCGGCGAACATATGCATTATTCATTATATGAAATTGAAGCCTCAAGTTAGAAATTAACTTGCCAATATAAGTTAGAAATCCGATATCAAAGAAAATAATAAATTGTTTTTTAAATGATTTGAAGGACGTTGTACATTCCTACAGCTATGATTAAAAGAACTGCTGTGGAACTATCTAAATTAATGAGATAATTCACTCGTTCTAACACGTATGTTATGTTATGAATTAATTTTATTTTATTTTTTCTTGCTTTGCTTTGGTTCTCGGCGACCCAAAGTATTTTTTCTATTTCTCCGATCCATTCGTCAATGTTTCTACGCAGCATTACACGAGCTCCTATTTTGATTACGATGACATTTTCTAAACCTGCAGTTAACGAAGAAGCATCCTCATTTTTCTTCAAAGTTTAGCTTGCTCGTTTAATTAAGTACCGCGGGCAATCTATTTCATCTATGGCGTCTAATCTGATTTCTAACTGTTCCATGCTTAATAACACTGCATTATTGAACTGGTTACACATATTTTTGGTGGCAAACAAACACATCGCATGTTAGGTATCGCTGAAAAATTATTAATAATTTCAATTAACTGTCCATTTTGGGTTAGGGATTTTAATTTTAGGAATCTATCAGATAAAGCGCTTATATCTTAACTTGTTGCGACACCTACTTTTATACGATTGAACATTTCGCCGAACTGCCGATCAGTTTCCTGCCTCATTTAATTGTTACTTCGTCAGTTTTTCTGCAAACATCGTGGTTCGGAGGGTGCAAATGAGAGGAAAACGACCCGATCCACCTGGCCTAAAAACAGACCTAATGATTCCTCGATGGGTAGTCGACATCGCAGAAAATATATCATCTCAACTGACAAAAATGGACATCTTGAGTGGTTTTATCTGGCCTTGAATGAATCAACGGATGTGTCAGATACTGCTCAGGTGGTGAGTTTTATTCAAGAAGTAGAGAAAAGCTATGAAGTGAATGAAGAACTTCTTGATATTGATAGTATTCACGGCACGACTACTGGGGAAGATGTTTTTAAAGGAGTTGAAAATGACATTAACAAAATAACCCTGGATGGGAAACTTGAGATCTATTACAATTGATGGAGGCAGAAACATATGTGATAAAAATAAAGGGGGGTTGCTCTTGTATGAAAATAGGTCCTTCCATAAGTTAGGTGCGCTAAGCGGTCCCGAGCATTTTAATACGTCTGACGATTTCATGCTCTCGAACGGCGAAATTTCACTCACGGGAGGCTGCTGCAGTAGATCGCCAAACTACACGATATTAATTTTACCAAACTAGCCATCATCTACATATTGGGTGTCATAAATTTCCGTTGATCGAAGATGTATGTACATAAGCGTTACATTTGAGATCATTGATACCTCATCAATAATTAAAAGAATTACGTTATTTAAATCACTTCTCAAAACTTTGGACTTATTCAGATAAGGAAGTACACGTGGAACAGTTTCCATAATCTGTTGGTAAATGTAATAGTATGTGTATTGTCAAACAGTTTATATTGAAAGCAGCAATACTTATGAGAGCAGCCACTTTAGCGAACTTATTAGTATGTTACCTAACCCATATTTGTATAGTGTTTATTAAATAATTTTTACCAGTGCCTCGTGTTTAACTTACGAATGATCTTAATACTGATGTATTTTCTGTTAAAGTTTTACTTAGTTTACCGAATATACGTTTTTGGTCGACACTCAGGTCTTTTATCATTTAAGCTCATCGTCTGACACCCACTCTTTTGCATTCCGTAAATCTTCTGTGTTTCAAAATGTACGAATTTCAGTGGATTGTCTATGCTGTTATCTTCATTAACGTCGTATTGTTGGTCTTGTCCAATCTCTGCTGCTTTTTCTTCAATCATTTTGAAAGCTCTCTCTAATATTATTTAAGAATTCTGTTCGTATTTCTCCTTAATTAAGTCCATCTTTAATTTTATCTTTTAAAAGATTGAAAGCTTCTGTATAAGTATTACAACGGGATTTGAGCTCGGTTACATTTCTCCATGGATAAAATATTAAGAAGAGAAATAATATTTTTCAGGATGTATGTTTAATTATTAAGCAGTACAGCTATTTTTAATTATTAAGCAGTATAAATGTTCAAACCTTATTTTAAAGTATAGATTCACGGTTCCTCTTTTTATTTTCTATTGCTTTATTTGCATCTGACATCTGTTTCGTCACTAAGTTTGAGTTACTGAATAGCAACGCTTCTGTCGTTTGAAAGCTGTTTACATTCTTTTCGCGATATCGCTGTAGTTAGTTTATCGCTGTAATTAGGCCCGAACCCACTACGAAAATGAAAAAAAGAGCTGCTTCTACAGTCTACCTCTGCACTCTCATTCCATCTATTACAAGTAGGTTTTTATTCTTCACTTGTTAGCATCTGATTGGCGCGGAAATCAGCGATCGGTGCAAGACCATCTATTGGTGACGTCAAATGCTTGTTATGAGTATTGTTTGGTTTAACTTCGATAATAATGTAGTTTTTTGAAGTTTTAGATTTTTTCCTTTGTATATGCCTAATGATCTTCTACCTTGATGCCAAATTTCAAGTATCTAAGTAATTTAGAAGTGGTCTAGGTTTTTGAATAGTCAGTAAGTGATAAAAATGACACTTTCCAGATCCAAATAATTTCATCACCATAAAAGGTAGATTAATGAAATTTGGTATTTTAGGTGTTCAAGGGAACTCTGTTGGACATTCAAAAATTGCAAGTTTGTAGGTCTAATAGCTTTTGAGTAATGGGAAGGTCTAAAATAGCTCGAAAAGGCTCGTGTAAAATATACATGGCCGGTGTCTCGCTGTTTTCTTTTCCGTCTGTTTCGAACTTGGATGACACACTGCAATGTATCTAAATATCAGTGCTTGCAACTCAAACGGTTAACACCAGAAACCTTTTCCTAAATTAGTATTTCATTTTAATTACATGAAAATTTAAATACTTCGCTCCTAAATTTGTGTACGACACCTGAATTTTCAAAAAACATATATTTTAAAATTAAAAAACTCAGTCCTTTTTTTTTTTTTTTTTTTTTTTTTTTTTTTTTTTGTCACACGAGAATAAAATTTTCTGTTTTACTTTTCAAATTGTGTATAAAATTTTCCTAAATATAAGTCATTTAAATCGAAAGACCATATAAAAACTTAAATATTGCAGGTAATAAAAACTGAGCTTTTTGATTTGAAAATGCCAAAACTTAAGTATTTTTGCCATTTAAATAATTTTTGTTATTGAAAGATCATAGTTACGAGGGACAATTGGGTCTCTCGTAACTATATTCTCGTAGCCGTTTCAATGATAAAAACTGCGTTAGAATTTTTATGGATTCATTGTATAGTATCATTCATGCCAATCAATAAGAATTGATAGTTTATTTTTACTTTCAAATAATATTTCCTCCACGGCCGCAGGAAATAAACAGAGCAACAAACTGTGTGCAGTATTTTGTTTGCTGAGCGTCTGTATGATTATTTGCTTTTTGCGTGCATCATATTTGAACTTTTGTAGAAGGTAGCAGTTTTAAAGCAAAAATATATGAAAATTTAGTATTAGGTGTTTTACAGAAAGTTTTTACACATTTTTAGAACGATTTTGAGACCGTTTAATTAATTTTTAAAATGTAAACAGTATTTGTTTTAATGTTCTACTTAATAGCCTTTTTTGTGTGTGTTATCAGTTTGGTTTTTAAGTCAGTGATAAAGTTCATAAGTCATAAGATTCAATTCTAGTGTCTCTCTACTACTGAAAGTTAGTACCCACTTAAATCCGTAATGGTTTTCACTTTCAGTATAATGTTCAATAAATAAATTAAAATATATTTTAAAATTTGTGTAAAATGACTTTGTCCAAATGCAGATTAATCTTGCTTTGATTTAATATTAACGTGAAGCTATGATATTTGATATATAATATGTATTAGGTACATTTTTAATAAAGATATATTTAGCTTACGATAAATTCAATTGAATGTAACCTCATTCTAAATCGAGATATACTTGTATCCATATTTTAATTGAGGTTCAGAAATTACAATAGAAAAGACTCTGATTCTAATTATTCACTTGCTAATGCTGATCTAAAAAATAACAAGTAGTCAATATACTTGATAATCGAGGCTTTGCTGTAATTAAATAATCTAATCTAATCTAATCTCTTTTTTTTTTCAGTCTTTTGTGAGTACGTTATTCTGACCCAGAAATCTCTAAAATAGCTAAATGTTTACTTTTCAAAAGCAAATCAATAATCGTAAATAAAATATGCATCAACGTATTGATTCTCCGCAGTTATACTTGAAATTTACGACGCACAATCTGTTGACTGTGAAATTACCAACATTTTTCGTTTGACTTTCTAATGATTTAAAGACTGGATTATTTATTTTTTTATTGTCAGAAGTTGTTAGAAGTTTAGGGCACCCAAATCAAGTTGTAACTTCTGAGACATTCACGCGTCATCACTTTGCAAAATTTCAATAAAAAATAATTCAATCTTCCCCTTTTAATTTATAAATCTGATATCAAAACACTAAATTTGGAATTCGTACGAATTACCAATTAGAAACTAGCTCAAGTCACATTGGAATTTTTGTTTTATTACATCCAAACTTAATTCTGCGTTCTGAAGGCATCAATAGAATGAATGCATGCATATTTTAAATGAATCACAAGAATTATTGCTTTTTGTCTTATAGTAAATGATGGCGACCTCTTCGCTGGACTGGAGAGCCGAGAATGCGTCAACTGCGGAGCCATATCCACTCCTTTGTGGAGGAGAGACGGAACTGGCCATTACCTGTGCAACGCTTGTGGCCTCTACCATCGCATGAATGGTATGAACAGACCTGTGGTGAAAAATCAGAAGAGGCTGGTGAGAAATTTTTAAGATATAGTGAAGCTAATGAGAGAGTTAATTATTACACACTTGAGATATCTTGTCACATGCCGAATATATGTGCGTCACATTATGTAGTAAAAGTAATTTCCGTCTTCCACTATGTGCATGTTGGGCATGCCCCAGCTTGCTTTTGAGTTTTTATAATACTGATATAAACATTCCATAAGAATTATATGTTATATAATTGAAACATACATGCTTCTAAGAAGATAAAGTGATACGTTCTACATCTCGAGATTTTAATGAGTAGAATACAATTGCTTTTTATGGAATTCGTAATTTCCAGGAGTTTGTGGCTATTGGTCGCTTCAAATTATCCTCAATATTATTCTCAGCTATCTTAAGAGAAACTGCTGCTAAAAAGTTAAGATACTCAAAGGCTTTAAGAACATTATCAATGGGATCAGAAATATTAACGGTATGATAACATATGGAGTTACTTAAAACCTCCAGAGCTTTTTCAACAAATGTGAAATAACTTCTAGCGCACGATGCTATAGACAAGTATTTGACCACTCCCAGGAAAGTTTAGATTTTTCAACAATGTCTATTCAATTGGTTTTAATCTATAATAAATATCCATAAATTCATCTCGTTACAAATTACCCACGTTATACAGAAGTGCGGATTGTTTTTATATGGTTGACTTCGTTACACTTGTAAGTAATGTATTGTTATAATGTGAAAGGTAAATGAAAGATTTTGTCTCATGGATTAATAACAGCTTTCTATTTCGCTCGGACTTAACTTTTTCGCGCAAAGTGAAAATAGTACCTCTTCGTTTTAGGCAGATCAATCCAGAAATAAAATCCGCTATCGAATAATATTTTGTATAAAACTGTCTCCCATTGTGTCAAAAATGTTCAGCATTTTTCCTCTGTTCACTTGTTTGCATGTGTTTAGCAACATAGAGCTCCAAATTAGCTTTTTTTTTTCTTTTTAAAATCTGCATATGCATCTTTCTCCAAGTGTTTATATATCTACTTGAATTGTATATACGTTTTCTGGCATGCTATCTCTTTTCTTTTTTTTTTTTTTTTTTTTTTTTTTTTTTTTTTTTTCGTTTTAAAACTTTTGGGGAAATAAATACATTTAAACGCTTATAAATGAATTCCTAGTCTTTAGTAAAGTAAACATAAAAGCAGCTTCAGCTTAGCGTATATATTCAATAAAACTCTATGGATTTCAAAAGCGTTTCTTACATTAAGTCCGTCTTAAATTTTTGAACGAGTGTAGCGAAGAGCCATATGTATAGAAAAATTAGTTTGCGGAGCTAATAATGAAATATACAAGTATTTAGACAAAAATACAATAGGTAGAACAAAGAGAAAATGAAAACAACGCCATCTATGATAGTTCTTCTAGTTAATAGTTTTTTTTAATATGTATGTAATGTATACATTTTTCAAATTATGTCTCAAATGTATACATATTTTTTTGGTTAATTAACTTTTTAGTAGAATAAACATACTACATATACTTTTATAATTTTTCAACTATCATTTATCTTTTTTCAATAAGTTTCTTCAAAATCTGCATGTATTTTTAACATGCGTACGGCTTACCATTAACTTGTTTTACTGTTAAGCTAATAAGACTGCCGTTTTTAGATACTTTAAAATAAATAATAAATATTCTTATATTTTTATTACTTAATTGTCTCTCTTTCCATATTTACAAGACTTCTGTTTTTTGTCGATATACATATCTCAACAACTTAATTAGACTTTTAATATGATTCTATACCGTTTTATATCAAATCTCCCTTCAGCTATCAAACAGAACGCATAAATGCACTAAATTTTGCAAAGCTAATATGTGGTTTACGACTACCTTTTTTATGCGTAAAAAAAATTGATCCACCAGCAAGCAAGTTGGCTATTCTTGACGTACAACGATTTGGTGTAGATAATGCGTTAAAGAAAAACACCTTTAAAGTCCCAGTTTTAAACATCTATTGAAAATCCCAGACACAAGAGCAAAGTAATATTTTATGAATGGCATTTCTTTAATAAAGCCACCTTCAACATCGGCTACAGTTTTCAGTCGATTTCGAAAGCAAGGATAGGCATATTTTATAATCTCGGGAATCAAATATTCAATTCCCGACCGATTCTCTTCCTCGTCTTATCTTTACAATTGCAGCCAGTTTTATTAGTGGTTCTTTTCACTATATCTACACATAATAGTCAAGAACTTTGCAGTCAGATGAACTCGGAGGCCTCATGTCAGTGGTAACATTAGACAAACATATTTTCTTCGAGCCACTGTGAAGTTTCCTTTTATTTTTTCTAACTGCCCGAATAGCTGGTCCACTGGGTTAGGTGCTCATCAGTCTGTTGGATACCGTCGATGGAATTAAAAAACAAACTTGAGAAATATCCTCCGGGACTTGACAATATAAAGTGAGGAATATTATAAGGTCCGGAACAAGGGAAGAAAGTAAATGATGAGGACACTGGCAATGTAATGCTGGAGCAAAAAGCAGTGGAGCACATATGTCTTCATTGGCTGTCTTTAATTCAGAGTATGATTATGGTATTCAGAATGTTTTGATGCAGTTTTGGTTTGCTATCAGGCTCTCTTAAAAAGTGTGTGAGAGCTGCTGCACATTTGAAACGAAATTATTATTCCTTTTCTTTTGTTCGACTTGATCTGATGTCTTTCTGGCAGCCACATTTTCCCCATTAAAATGCTAAATGTACTCATTGTCGTCTAATTCTAATTCTTCTTGCATACGATATCGTTACTGGTCATCCCGGTGCAGATAAAGTGGACTTTCTCCTTCCTTCTCTCTTCTCAGACTACTCACAATTGTCCAATCTGTCTTCTTTAAAATCTTGCTAATTATGAATCTGGAATAAAAATTTGGATCAAGAAATACCTTAAATTAACTTTAATTTCCTTGTTTAAACTCGCGTCAATTCTACTCTCGCACTCTCTATATAATGGTTTAAGAGAAAAAATTCCCAAACATCACATGTACACTGTTCAATAATCTTTGTTATATTTTAATTAAAACTTATCTATTCTTTTTCCTATTTCAGTCAGCTTCTCGAAGATTAGGGTTGTACTGCTCCAATTGCCAAACGACTAACACTTCACTTTGGAGGCGAAACAATCAAGGAGAACCTGTATGCAACGCTTGTGGTTTATATTACAAATTACACAGAGTAAGTGCATAGATTTTAAAACATCAGTACTAAACTTTATCCTTAATTTGCGTCAGTATTCAAGAAAATGTATGCAAAAGGCAAAGCATAACATTAAATTTCGTATTTATTATTCATTTTGTAGGGATTAATTTATTTTTAGTATTTATGTTCAGTAGCTTTTCTATCACTCTCTCTTTCCGTTTTCCTGCCAGAATGCAAATTTTAGTTTGCGCTTTTTCAAATGAGGTAGAAAGAGGTAATATTTAAAGGAAGGTTTTAGACTGTTGCGTTCCGCCTGCTGAAGGCCACATTACTATTTGAATCTCTTGATAACAGTGCGTCTGCGGCGTTGCGTTATTCTCGCCATTAGGCTTGTCACGCCAATATTAGGTTTGAGCCAACTTGCGCTTATTCTCTCTGTGTAAGCCTTTGGCTAAACTATGACTTAACGTAGTTTAATTTAAATTCATTATTTTTTAATTACTTCATAAATGTTAGCGGGTTCTCTAAGCACAAGCAGTACCTTCTGTTAAATTACTGAATTTAATAAAAGGATTTCTTACACCTTTAGCACATAGCTATCATAATTTCTAAGGCATAGTGATAAATCGCTTACGTCTTGCAGAGTCTCAAATTAGTTTATGCTTCCAAAGAAAGTGAGACTCTGGGCCTATCTACATGTTTTATCCTTTCCTTCGATTGTACTACATTTTGCCAAAGCAGTTAATTCCTATTTTAAGATTTGTTTAAACAAGCTATGGCTGTTTTAAAACGTTTATGCTCATATTTAAAAATTAAAAAAACACAAATTTTAAAATGTACAATAAACTAATATATAATAATAAACAAAATGTACAATCTGGATAGTAATCGGAGGGTTACCAAAATAAAAGCAATTTATACGATAAACATTATTGGATAAATAAAATAATCCTTATTATAATAATAAGCTTTTAAAATTCTTTAATATTTGATTATTTTTTAATGTGGCTGCAATTTAGTAAATATACTTAAACAAAATATTTATAACGTTAATAAAAACATTTTACAATACTGTCTCTTTTCTGTGAATTTTATTAAGGTTTTTTTAAGTTTTTATGTTGACTAAAGCCCTGATATTAAAATCTTCAGCTGATAATATCCCTGGTATACATACATTCACTAGCTATTTTTTTCAAGAAAATATTCTTTATTTTCATATGTGATTAATAGTCTGAAAAATATTCTAGATACACATATATGTCTAGAATATCAAAAATATTCTAGGTATACTGTAGTCATTAGGTTATTTTGAAGCAGGAAGCGTGAGAAATGAGCAATTATTCCCCGGATTCGAATACGCTCTGAGTGTGCTAACGTTACACCGCGAAGGCATGTGGGAAAAAGGGGCGAAAATTCCTTATATACTCCCTCTTTTAAAGGGCGATTGGAGATTAGAGGACCCAGTTGCCAAACCCTGGTGGCGACGAATAATTGTCCACCACTTTTTAGTTCGGAGCCACTTATAAAGTCATTAGGTTATTTTGAAACAGGATACATGAAAAATGAACAATGCCGTCGCCGGAACTCAAACCTGGACTTTTCGAAACGTACCGAGTGTGCTACCGTTACACCATGAAAGCGTGCTGGAAGGAGGGAGAAAATACATTACAATACTATACAAGAAATAAATAGAAAGCTAGGTGTGATACTATATAGCTTTATTTCAAAAATAACGCATTAAAGCGTCTCTAACTGCTACAATCTAACTCCTTTGCTTCCATATCAGTTGTGATACAAAATTACAGAAATATTCCAAAATTTCTTAAAATAATTTGAAATATTTCTGTAATTTTGTATCACTGCTTCACAAGACCAATATTCTAAAGTTAAATAATATATTACAATATTTTACTATTACCATCGGTTAATAGGTATTTCCCAACATCTGAAACTAATTAGAATTTATTAGGTATAAACTGCAAAATGTTGTTTGCAGAAAACAATAAAATTTAGAGTAGAATTTAAGTAAAATTGATAAACAACAGAGTAATTAAAATGTAACTGTTGAAAAATATATTTCATAACAATTCTTAAACTACCTATCTTTAGTTGTACATATTAAGAAATGTATTAAATGCTAATTTTCGGAAATGTGGTGAAATATTTATTTTAATCTGGCTATTATGAAGCCGCTTATCGCTTATATTAGGCTAAGCAACAATCAAAATCCTATATTAGGCTAAGCAACAATCAAAATCCTATATTAGGCTAAGCAACAATCAAAATCCTAATATTCAAATGAAAAAGTAGGCATATACCCCGTGTGTACTATATTCAAATAACCTAACTAACCATATGAAAAAACACGTAACAAAATTTTTATGAAATCACATTTGTATTTGTGAAAAAATTATTTTAAAATAATACCATAAAAAATATGATAATTCAAATGAAAAATTTGTAAAAAAAAATATTTTTACAATATTATTTATAAAAAAAGTATTTTAAATTCGTTTTACAAAGGACTACTACCAAGGCTTGGGGTAGTATTAATTTGTTAAGAGTATTGAAGCTTACATTTTGGTCTTATTATTTTCTTCGGTTGGAATAATAGTTTCTCTAAGAATAATAAAACTTTAGATTAATAGTTATATATTAAAGATATAAAGATTTATTCTAAAAGCTTAAATGATTGATTGCAACAATTTGAAAGCACAGGATGACAAATTTTGATGAGTTACCTGGAAACAGTTGCAAAATACAAACATTAAACTTTATGTGACAAATAATCAAATTGATCGACCTTAATAAATAATCGACACCACATTAATAAATATATTCGAATCGATATTTCACACTTTATTCTGTTTTGCCAATAAACTATTCCTCAAAAAAGATGATCATATTAAAAGATATTAAAAGAAATTCATTATTTAAAAATGTTATCTAAAGACGAGAAATTCTGAAAAATACTAAAAAATTTGATCTGTAAGTTTATGAGGTATTTCCTTCCTCCTTTCTGGATGCCTTCGTGGTGTAACGGTAGCACACTCGGCGCATATTCGAGAAGCCCAGGTTCGAGTCCTGGTGAAGGCATTGTTCATTTTTCACGTCTCGTGCTTTAAAATAACCTAATGACTCTACAGTGGCACCCGAACTGAAAGGTGGTGGATGATGATGATTCTTCATCACCAGGATTTGGCGATCGGGTCCCCTAATCCCCAGTCGCCCATTAAAAGGAGGAGTATATGAGGTATTTTCTTTCTTCTTTCTGCATGCCTTCGTTGTGTCATGATAGCACATTCGGCGCGTATTCGAGAGGGAATTGCTCATTTTTCATGTCTACTGCTTCAAATAACCTAATGACTCTGCAAGTTTCATTAGATATCAAGAAATTTCTAGAATATTCTATAAAGTAATGTACAATTTACCGTTTACGAAGTTTTATGCAAACCTGTGTTTGAATTCTTATCACTATTTCATTAATCTTTCGAGGATAGCTCCAAAAATGTAACCATGATGTCTAGTATTTGTGCATAAGTATATGATAGCGTATTACAAGCTAAAAAATTCAAAACTCCAGCAATAATGTTTTGCTACATATAATCTTATCAGGATTTATTTTTAATTTCAATGATAAATTGCGAACAGTTCCGTAATTCAATTCAAAATGTCCACTAATATGATTGTTTTATACAAAGCATGCCGAAGATCTCAAATCACTTGCAAATGTTAAATTTCTAAATTTTTCGATATTTCTTATTTCAAACATCGATTCTAGAGTTATATGACGAAATTTTAATCTTCAGTATATTCATGCAAAAGTATGAATCATGTGTTTACTGACTAACAGCGTTTCAAATCACTAGGTCTTGTCGGCCTCGAGGTTTACTCAAACTATGTTTGACGTTTTACCTCCCTGGTCGGAATAATATCGATATAATGATTAGCGAAGATATAGACTGCCATAGCGTTATACATAGTTTCGAATCCTGTAGAATGTTTGTAAATGCCTAAAGTCTTTGTGGCATAAGGACACCTAAAATATACAACGAACAGAATGTCCTCTTGTCAATTTGTTGGTAGCCAAAGAGCGTAGTAAACACTTGGATTTGTCTACCGTAGTATTCCAATTCGAAATGGGATGGAGTTGAGCAAAGTCATGCTGTTACTTATAAAGATGTCCAGAGCTCTTGCCAGCGGCAGATACAATCCTGCGCTTCTCGTCACAATGCAATTCGTAGACTTGTTATGATTGACATCATAACAAGCCATCATAACTTCTAATAAGACGTCATAATAACATAATTACAAGACACTGACATTTTAAATTATTTCATATTTTTTATTTGTTTAGGCAGACAATATAAATGATACAGACACGTAATCTATGTGTCTGTATAGAGATATTATAAGATAAATTGGAAAAGCTCAAATGTATATTTTTAATGATATCGATTCATTTTTAAATATAAAAGAATGAATATGAATTGCTGTGTTGAGGGACGTTCAAATGTCAGCCATTTTTTTACCATGTCTGCGAAAATTTATGTGACTACTGTATTATTTTCGTAACTTATCAAATGTTTTTAAGTTGGTCACAACACCATAAAATAGGAACTATACAGAAGGAGGGAATTTTATGAAAAATATGAAATTTAAAAAAGGGATAAAAAATTGTAGCTTAAAATTATTTTTCACAGAACCTACACAAAAACTTTCACGGTGAAGAGGAAAGCTGTATATTTTCGTGCCTGTACCATGTGTACATTTTATAGCCCTTAAAATTTTCCGACTGAATTGTTTTTTGTGTAAAAAGTGCTGTTTCTTCTCGCCAGTACCTAATTACTACTAAAGAGCTCTTTAATGGGATAACATTTAAGGAAGTAAGTTTCTATACCCTTTTTGGTATTTTCTGGGATACGAGTGAGTTATAATTTCATTAGGACTGACCAAACAAGCCTGGCATCTAATTTGATTTGAACTAAGCTTCTATTTTAGGTGAATCGACCTTTGGCTATGAAGAAGGACAACATCCAAAGGCGGAAGAGGAAGCCGAAAGCCTCGGAAGTACGAAATGAGCAGGAACAGCAAAGTAACAAGCAACCTTGGCCCATCATCAAGCAAGAAGTTTCGGGTAATAAGTTGTTTGTTTAAAAGACAATATATAAACTAACGACGTGCGTTTTAAAGCTTCGTATGATTTTATACTTCCGAATTTTTTTCTTTCATCAAGCATTATTGCAAAGCTTCCTCTAATTTTAAGTTGCATCTGTTGCAAGAAAATACTGTATAATGATTCAAAGGATTTTATTTATTTTAATTTTTTCCGGTATACTGTGAATCAGAAATTTTCCTCTGTTGTAACAATTATTTTTCTTGGCAACATTCGAAAAGTAAAAAGCTATGAGAAATTTTCGAATGACATTTTGCATGAAAATTTCTTAATATTTGCTCTAAAACACTAACTATTTTTGAAATACCTCGAAGAGGTATTTATTGCACTTATTTTATTATCACAAAATTTGATGTGTACACCACATGACTTCCTTGTACGGAATATTAAATTATACGCCTTTTTTCTGTCATTTCATTTAAATTTATTGGATTGAATTAAATCTACTTGCCTTGGCCGATAGCGCATAAACCACAACAGAATAAATGCACTCTTTAAAATTCACTATATTTGTTTACCATAGCGATACTCTGGCGCTAGGTTCACTTAACAGCGTTATTTTTCGTTCATATTATAAATCAGAATTCACAAAATCTATACCATCTGAAAAATTATCTAATCGTTGCCACATGTTCTATTCAAATATTATAATAAATCTAAAACGATATATAAAAGAAATTAAGAAAACAAAACAAGAAAGAAATAATTTTTCACAGACGATTATGTATTTCTCATTCAATTAATTCAGTTCTCATTTCGTGACAAGGCAAAAATACATAAAAGCTCAAAATATCTATATTAAAAATTACGAAGTAAATCCTAAACACTTATTTCCTCGAAAAAATTCCAGAAAGGATTAAGCATGATTTAATTCGCAATATTAAATGAAGGCGTTATCTTTGTTGTTGCGAAGCTTAGTCTCTCTAGATTGGCAACAAATTTACTATTCTGCTGTTTCAAATGTAAACAAACATGTCCGCCATGTTATTTAAATATTAGACTCAACCGCACTTAAACAATTACAATTAAATACAAAAAAGGAAAGATTTAAAAACATTAAAATTTTAAAAATAGTAACATAACGGGCTATTATTATTATGTGTGAAAGAGAACGGATAGTTAAACAATTGATTTTAGGGGGAAAAAAAAAACACTTAATTTTGAATGTAAGTCAAGAAATTTGGCAACATTTGTGTTAGAGATATATCTTTCGTGTAACGTTTAATGTGCAAACAAGATAACTTATTTTGATGTAAAATCATAGCAACATAGAGTAGAATTACACATTTATTGAATGTTTGAAACTACATGTTTGAAATCATATCATTTAAAAATAATTTAGCACCTATTCGACCATATATAATTTTCTTAGCTATAAAAAACTCATACGAATTGGTGGATTAATTTGTTTAACACAAAGAATAAAATTACAAAGATGCTTTCAGGTTTTCATTATATTTAGCTATATATTTATAATCGTCCATATTATTTTCTGTGAAACCTATATTTCCCATCCTAAGCGCAGCAAAATATCTCCAAACCATTATGGTTCAAACCACATGCTTGACAACAGAAAATAAGTTTTTTGGATTCAAACTTTTAGTCGACTTTCGCCACACAAAAATTCATTACTAAAAAAAGACGTTTTTTGACTTTTGTCATCCACAACGTCGCAGAATACTGCAGTGATTCTCTAAGAAGCCAAGTGAACGCTCTTTAAGGTGGTTACTCATACATTGCGATAACTATAGTATAGGGCATGTTTCGATACTAAATTTCAACACATTGCGTCCCGTTTCACTTACATTTTTCTCTCCACTTTCCTACTGTAAAGGGCAGATAAATGAACCCGTTCCGAAGAAATAACTGTAGAGTTGGTAAAATAAATGGACATTAAACCAGTCTCATTAAACATTCACATAGTTGCTGAAAAATGCAAAAGAACAAAATATTTAGTAAGTTACTTTTCTTTTTCTACTAGATGATGCAGCTTACTCCAAGCCTAATGATTCCAACTCGCTGAGCCATAATTATTACATTTATCAAAGCAGTGCATTGTCGACTCCTCGCAGCTTGCCTATGTTCACCAGTGCGAAGGATTTGCCCAAGACGTCAACTCTCCACCAGTCCGTCAGCCAGCCCTTACTTCAGAATAGCCTGCCTTTCTTGTTGTCCCACACCCAGACGGGGGACAGCCCAGAGCCAGGACATTCTTCGCCAAGACCAGATTCAAATCCAGGGTATCCTGTTTCCCCTCACAGAGTGTCGTTACACTCTCAAGCTTTGGACTCGACTAGTGATTTTGAGCACGAGAATATGCTTCCTTGACAATGATTATTCCCGTTTGTGTGCGTGCATTAATTTTTTTTTTTCAAAAATCTCTTTTAAACTGCTTGTACATTATTTTGAAAAAAAAAAAAAGAATTGTATTCATATATTTTTTTATTAAATCTTGCCATACAAAATTTAACGTGTGGAAATTTTTGAAATATTTCTGGATTTTATTACTAGGCCTTTTTTAAGTTGTATTTTTGAGCATTTCCGCACAGAATGTGAAAGATGATAATTTCAATGTTTGATGCATAACACTGATCGTACATATTTTGTTTAATTGTGTCAGTTTGCATGAAACTGGAAAATGTAGTTAGCGAAACGATCGTGCAATATCGTGAAGAAATAAAGTAGCACAAAGTTGAAATAGTATGATCAATTTTCAATTTGGAAATTAAGATATGTAGCGGCAATTACATTATTTTAGACAGAAAAATAATTAGTAAATAATTTTTTACCATTCACGTGCATCTGTGTATTATGTAAGATTGAAAACTCTGTCATTAAATGACACGCTAAATGAAATGAATCGGACTACATACTGATTACCATATGAATTTGTTAACATATTCTGATGACTATAGCTAATATTTCAATGATAAAGTAATAAACTTTGAAAGACCAAAAAATTTACATAGTTTTTGAAGAAATATTAGTAATTAATAAACTACCTTTACTAATTTATAATATTTTTTCTGCAGCAGGAAAATTTTAAGAAATTCCTTATTACGAGAATAAAATAGAATAGCTTTCAATTTTTAAGAGGAAAATTGTTTATCTGGAGGAAGACTCGAAACGTTTTCGGGTATGTCAGGTGAAAATACAGAGTAAAATAAAATATTTCTTGAATTGCTAAAAGAATCTATTATACGAGGGTTACTATTTATATTCCTGGCCTAATAATGAAAAAACAAATGTTTATGATTTTGAAATTAGTTCTATAGTTTCTTCAAAATATTCTCGATGGAGATCAATACACTTTTGCATTCGTTTGATCCAATTTTCGAAGCACTTTTCCACTCCGATTCAGGTAACTCCAAAACTTGCGTAGAATGCATCAACCGCTTCTTCTGGTGTCGGAAATCTCTGACCACTTTATTTATTTTTGATGGGAGAGGGAATAAAAATAAGTAATTGTGTGCCAGATCAGGGCCACTGTCGCCACGTGGCCGGTAATGCAGTAAAACAGGCAACCATTTACTTCGGTCTCCTTCCGTGAACAACTTTTGTTGGATTTGGCTCGTCTCGGAAGACCCATGCAGCCGACTGCTGTTTTGTTTCGGGTTCATATGCATAGCTCCCTGTTTCGTCATCTGTATAAATATTATACACAGCCTTTGATGCAATTTGAACATGTGTTTTCAACATTTTCTTGTAGCAATCAACATGGGCCTCTTTTTGAGCGTTGGTCAGATTAGGCGGGAACTAACGCTAACAAATCTTTTTTATGGCCAAATGTTTCATGTAATATCTTATTCATACTTGTCTTATAAGAACTTTGGGAAGATTTTCAGCTCATGTCATTTGTAGAAAAATTAGCATGGAATAGAGACCATATCTGAATTATAGCATCTAATTTTAATGATTAAAGTTAATGATTTTAATGACTTAATTTGAACTTAGCATTTAATTTTTAATAATTAAAATTAATGATTTTAATGATCTTGTTCTCTAACTAATACGAATACTTTTATATATTACTTCTTTTAACAAGAAAATCGCTGTAATCAAATTGTCGAACGATTTGTTAAAGATTTCTATTTTAACCTGAAATAAAACAAGGTTGCACGTTTTTCATTTTAATATCTTTTGAAAGAAAAGTACCAGCTATATGCTACTTCTTAAAACAAGGTATGATATAATGTTTAACGTTTAAATAACATGCTTTTCGATCCATGGTTATCAATTCAAATACAATCAAAAATGTCCTCAATCACATTAGAGATATATTAAGTCTTGAAGTTAAATTCATTTGTATTATAATGCATATATGTTCAACTAATATCCTGAATATCAGGGAGCGACGATTTTTTTTTTTTTTTTGTCTAAATTCAATCTAATTTTGTTTAAATATTCTTACACAATTAGTAGTTTTCATGATCGGATCCAAAAGCACATTATAGATTAATTTTTTCAAGATTTGTTACAAGAACGGAAACTCAACGATTTAAATTATTCACTAGCATATGAACTGTTTAAAAATAATTTCTATTAATAACCAATGCTTAATTTTAGCTCGGTTGTAGTGCTTTTTCTTCTAATTGAAATCTGAATCGCTGCAAAGCACTTCAGAGTCATTTTTGACATAAGCTCCTTTTCTCATCTGAACCCATTTAGTGCCAGACAAAAAATACAAAGTTCTGACACATATTCATTTATGAAACACGCAACACTTTCTTTGAAGATTGCAGTCTTTCGTTAAAAAGATAAATACAAATTTCATAAAAAAAAGACAAATTACAAAAGTACAAAATCTTTTCATCATTCCTGACTTTTTAAACAATGTGCAATGCAGTTTTCCTTTATGACATATTTCTAGAATCTTAAAAATTTCTTATGATTTAAGGAACGCTTTCATAATATTTCCCATTACAGATCTGCCGACACCTTTATGCAAATTAGCTATTATTCGGCCTACTCCATCAAAAAGCCTTAAAAATTTTTAACTTAAAAAAACAATCTTCATAAAAATGTCGCCATCTATGTGTTGAGCACAAATATAAAAGTTTCTGTCTCGCCGAACAGTGACTTGGCTAGCATTAAGATACCGTCATAATTATAATGAGATATTACTGCGCATCTGCTCTGTTTAAAAGCCAGATATCTTCTATAAGTTTATCAATATTCTTAAAATTTCTGTATAAAGCAGAAATTGTAGGAATACAATTTTCAGTGATTTATGAAGCTTAAAGTGGGTTCATTACTCATCCTTCAAGACCAATACACCTTTCACCAGATATCTCAAAACGCATTGCATGTCCAAAATCCATCAAGACTCACACCTACGAAATGTGTCCGGGAACCTCCTTTCATTCATGAATATAACTGGAAAACTGCCCATTCATTACAAAGCAGACTTTTCGAATTCATTGGCTGGGTAAATAAAAGAAGTAAATTCATAGAAAAAAAAAAAAATCCGCAGCAAATCATTATTGCGTGATTTCGCAGATTAGTTTATAGACAAATACATTTCCTTTTTTAAATGGGCAAGCGCGTAAGATACATATATTTCTTAAAAAATCTGCCCACCTGTTTCATGTTGCAGCGGAATACCTCGTTGAAAAATAAAGCCAGTGATCAATAACAATCAAGCAAACTGTCAATGGCCTGACTACGCTTAATGAAGATGGATGAGTGGAAGATGAGTTGCAAATTAATATCGGTCAGTCACTCTATTGTGTAAAAAGTGCTATTAAGTGCATATCATCGATTTTCTCCACGTGTACAAAAGCTTATCTCTAAGAGATCCTCTTCGTGTCACTAATCAATGTAATTGCAGGCGTACTCTTCGGGTTTTTTTAATACTCATTATAAATTAAAGATGAGCATTCATACGATTTCGAAAGCGGACAGAACCGGCTCCTACATTAGCAGCAAATATGTTTTTAAGTAATTTTAACTACTGGGTCCATACATATTTCTTGAGGTATTAATACCGGTTTAAACTTGTTGTAAGGAATTGGTAACTCGAACCTCGTCATCAGAGTATACATTTTTTTTTAATTTACCTACAAAAAACATATGAAGGGGAGTTAACTGATGCATTTCTTACTCTTCAACTAGAACATTCCCCATTTTTTTCTTACGTGCATAAAGTATGTAATTTGAAAGTATCGAATTCTCATTGCTAATGTACTTCTTTAAATTAGATCTCGTCAGTGTTTAGATATAGATAGACTAATAGACATTAGATATTTCTTTGAACTATCGGAACAGCATTTCTAAGCTGTCCTTGGACTCTCTAGCGTTATTTTTTGCAACTTCGGATCTGTTATTTTCTACAAATTAATGAAAAGACCGACGTTCATTAGGGTTTATAACCCTTCTCTTGAGATGAGAACTCATAAAAAGAAGCCTTTTTCATTGCTCCTGAAATCATTCCAGATCTTCGGTGTAGATCTGGAAGGTGAAGATAGTTCAATTCTATATAAAGTATTCTTCAGATCTTGGACAGCTGTGATTTTGCTTTTTTATCATTACTGGTTCTTCTGCGACATCGGATTTTATTTTGGTCATAAAGCACAAGAAAATGCTATTGCAGAAAGCATCACTGTGTGGTCATCCGTTATCTCTTATGATATTCTGCTTTGGAAAGGGAAAGATATCCGTAAATTGATGGCCATCATGAAAGTGGAAACAGAAAAACTAGACCGAAAATTGCTCGAAAGGCAAGAAAAGCAAGTAATTTTTGTTTTCAGTATATCCTGGTTATACATGCTAATATTCATTGGACAAAAATTAATACTTACTCCAGAAAAAGGATTCGGCGATCGTTACACAGTCAATATTTTACGATATCTGTTTGATTCTCTTTCAGAAAATGACAAGATCATCCTATTCAAACTAGAGACAGCTTTTGAGATCTTTTTTATCCAAGGATTCTTAACCCTAACAATAGCCCTTTATTTATTATTGGGACTAAGCGCAAGGAAGTGGTTTAAGAACCTCAAACTTTCTTATATGAGAAAAAGAAACTCTGTTGATACAGATTCCAAGTTGACTGAAATTGAAGAATTTTGCCATGCTTTTGATAAACTATCTCTCAACGTACAGCTTCTTGATAAAGTGTTTGCGCATCCTGTAGCGATATGGTTACTCATGATTTTAGTTACACTTTGCGTGCGGATAGTTGCAGTTTTGAATCCAAGAATTCCTGTCACCGAAAATCTCTTAACAATTATAATTCTGTCCTTCTCGCGTTCTGCAACGACCTTAGTTGGATTGAGTTTCATAGCCGATTCTGTGAACCAGCAAGCTACGAAAACTTTATTTTACCTGTCTACGCTGTCACATAATACTCATACAATGACCACAGCAGCATATCACGAAATACACATGGCATTCACAAGGTACGCTTTTATGCCAACGCAATTGACGTTCTGGCAGATAACAAGACTGAATAGAAGGTTTCTTATGACGTGCATAGGGATGATGACTACTTATGTAATCATCTCCATACAGTTGTATCCCAGTGCCATGAAGGGACTGGCTTCGATGTAATGATATTAATGTTATGTTTTTTAAAAGGAAGTGTGGTTTTTTTGTTAGTCTAATAGAATAAGTGTTTTATATTTTAATCTGAGTTATATTCTAATCAAACGACGTACACTAGAAGGAAACATTTTATTATATTATGGAACTTGACACTCAGCAGTTTGCTTTAAATCTGATGCATAAGCTTAAACTTTTTCGATAAAAGAATATTCAATAAATGTTTAATTTGTTTTCAATACTGTTGAAAAGTATCTGGGAGATAAAACTGCATTTGAATGGTAGCAACTACATTTGAATGGTATTTCAGATTACAACACATTTTCAATCGGAATCATATGTGCGTATTTGGCTCACAGTTTATTGAAAATCTTGGTATATTCTTAATGATTTTAATTGTTTTTGTGATTTGAAAGATTAAATATTAATGAATGACTTTTTAATAATTTTTATGGTAACGGAAAATGTAAATTTTCTTTAAAAAACTGATTCTGTATATATTAGATAAATGAAATATTAAATGGGTCACTTCTTACTATATTTACTAGATTTGAGTAAACTCCCGTTTTAAATAAATAGTGTCTCACTGTAGAGATCTACCGTTAAAAATTATTTTTAAAATTACGCAGAATTTCTCCAAAAACATTTTCAAACACTAAGTAGTTCAAATTCAGGAATACACATTTAAATATTGATTAAAATTTTAAAAACAAATTGAATTTATTCATTAAATATTTCAAGCAATAAAAATGAATATTGATAAATTTTTATTTATTTTAACTTAATGCAAAATGTATATAATGTTTATGCCAGAAGATATATAATCAGTAATTATACTTTGTAATCAGTAATTACTGATTATATTTTTGATATAATCAGTAAAACAACAATACTTTTATATGAACAAAATAAAGGAAACTAAAGGCAGAATGCTTAAACATTTTATTAGCTTTTTAAAACACAGCTTCAGTAATGTTTGGATTCAAGAATGAAATAACTTATTTCTCCAAGAACTATATGGGAAAAATAAGAAAAACTAAAAAGAAAATGAAACGAGAAATTAAATTACCTGTATTTTGTAAGCATTTTCATTTGAATCTCTCGTCTTAATCAAACAGGAAATTATGTTGTATTTCTATTGTTAAACAAGATCAAAATAAATAAAATGCGAAATTGAAATCTCTAAAAATTTGCATTTCAGGAATTATAAGGCTTTAGCTTACAATTATTATTCGATAAATAATATTCACCAATTGTAACGCTAAAATGCTACGTTAAAACGTGAAAGGAAAAAGAAATAGAGAAATATGTTTATTTTTGACATTAATGAAGAAAGGCATTCGTAAATAAATTAAAGTCATAGGTAAATTTGAAAGCATACATGAATTCGGCATTTTCATTTCCCTGGAGATCTTTAAATTTCAATCTCACTTACTATATACACTCGTATAATGTAATAAATAATTTCGATAATATACGCCTTAAATAATCTTTGCCTTTAATATATCAGTTTCTTACAAGCAGGTAAAAAAGGCCTTCCTAATTTATCTCTATATAAATATCCATCGACCCCTCTATCTTCTTTCTCACTGATAAATGTATGTGTGTGTATAACTTACAAATGCTAAAAAAAATGAAATAAACTTAAACCATTTATTGAATGAAAAAACTCTCTAAACACTTTAGTAGATTTAGTAGAAACAATTTTATGAATAAACTTTGTATGTTCTTTTCTGGAAAATTTGAATTTAACACTTTGAAGTTAATAAATCAAGAGATTACATAAATCAATAAATAATGAAACGAGAAGTAAAACCATACCCCTTAATAACTCTTTCAAGGAGTTGCATTATCTCACAGCACCAACTGCCTGAAAAGATATTAAGAGATATGTTGTTATTGTTCATTTTACTTTTTGGAATACTTTTCATTCTTTTTTCTATTTTTCTCTACTACTTCTAATCTACTTTCCAGGAATACATTACAAGTAAATAATTCATATAAGACAGTAGAAATTGGATCTAGCGAAGTGAGCAGATGTAAAAAATGTTTTGAGCCTGGGGCTAAGTTTAAACATAGCTATTAAGTTCATAAAATAATGTAACGAAAATTAATTGTTCTGAGACCAGAGGTCTTCGACAGAATGGCCGAAATCAGCAGCAGTTCATCTTAGTAACATTATTAAAATCCAAAAACATTCCGCTAATCTGTAGTAAAGTAGCAAGAAAGTTGTTAAAGTAGCCAAAAAAATCAATTAGGTCAATTTAATAATTAAATTTTCCTTGAAAACACGCGCAATCCATCCCTTACGTTTTTGGATCACAACACTGGTTAGAATATTAAAAAAATCAATGAAGTAGATCCACCTGCTATTACATCGGCTTAAAATTGGTAAAATAATGATATGAAAACAAGCAAAGTTACAAAAACGTTTTAAATGACACAAATGAAATTTTGATATTTTTTAATTTTTAAATATTAGTTTGTTAGAAATACAAAATCTAGCTTTTTATATATCCTCTCGGTTTTGAAAATGTTTATATAGTTAATAAAATTTAAACAGTTAACATTTGATTCCCGTGTGACAAAAACTGACGGAGATATTTTTTAGTTTTCAGACGAGTGCACAAGATGAAAAAAAGTGAAATATTTACATCTGTACCTAACCGAAAGTCGAGTTTGGAAAGAAGGTTTCTGATGTTAGTGGATGAACAAGATTTTTATTCAAATTATTGTAGAAAGTATTAACAAATATAATTTATATCAAAAAAGGAGATTTTATTCACACAATCTTACAAAATTCAAATTTTAGAAAGCATTACCGGTACATAAGCAATTCGTAAAATTATTTGCATAAATTAAAAATATTCTAATTTGATGAATTTTTTGTATGATTATTGCATTAGTATATATAATGTGTTCTTTTTTCCTATGAAAAAAGAAATTTTATGTTTTTGTGTGTGTGTTTAAAAGTAATAAAAATGAGATGAGAATATTAATAACGCATTCTTTAGCGTTTAAAAACTTATAAATTATTTGTACGAGAAATTCTTTAGTCTTGTAGTTCTAATAAAATGATAAACTGAAGAAATGTTACTCTCTAATAATCACAGAAGAATATAATTAAATGGCATTTAAGGGGGAAAAAGTCATCCCCAAATGAGTGTAATTTATTTTGTATTTAAACAATCCCTAGGGCAAGCTGGATTGTGGGTTTGTTGGATTACAGAAAAGCATATGAGGACTGTCTAGCTAAAGGGAAGGCTGTTTTCGTGAAAGCCTTCTAATAAGACAAATAGAAAATGACGTCAAATATCCCAAATTCTGGAACTAAACATCTCGGTCAATTTTTGTCGGACGCTAGTTAAACCTTTTGTTTTTAAATTTACATAATGACTATGAAATTTTCCTAAAAATAGGGTCTGGCGGACCATTTAAAATGTTCGATTTCGTAATTTTTAAATAACTGGCTTTTTTAATTTAATGATCGCAAAACATGAATATTTATGTCATTTAAAACAATTTTGTAACTGGATACGACTACGGCTAAAGGCTGCGGAAATAAAGACCGGGTAAAGACTTATGTGGGTACGATATATGTATTTATATATCTTTAGACAGAGAGAGGATATATATACATGAAGAGAAAAAACGAATATATATATGTGTACGGATAGATAAATGGATAGAGATAAAATATATACAAATAAATAAATAAGTTGTTAACATCGTGTTCTTTTCAGAGCTAAGGATAATATTAAGCCCTTAAAAACCCATTCCAATTCCTCCGGTGTGTCATTTTCCTATTTTCTTGTTGTTATTCTTCATTACTTATTGTAATCTCACCTTTTAAATTTTTCTTTGAATTCTAAATCAGGATATATATAATTTATTCACATATATAGCACGTCTTAAAAATTCTAGGACTGAATTTATTAAAAGTCAAGATCTGAAGAAATGATTTTGAAGTCACGTATCTCCTGGGATATTCGTAGAGTTTCTGATTGCTTACTAAAACTCAACTCTTGAAACACATATCGTATCGTTAAAATTTCTCGAATTTCTGATATATTGACAAAATGGGGAGAGTAACAAAGAATTTAGGCTTTTGTTTCTAATAAGTTTCTTGAAGACAGTAAGTAGAAAATTTATTCACTTTTTGTGCTTAAGTCATTGAATCCATAACAGTAAGTATCAATTTAATAAAACAAATGAGGAAAGTCAATTAAAACTTCCTTCCGTGAAGAAAGAAATGTACTTTAAATTAACCAAATTGAGATGTTCTAATAATTATTTCAATTAATTACTGGTCGCAGTTTCATTGAGACTGTTAAATATACTATTTAATCCTGAAACATTGTCGACTCATGTTGACCCAGAACTCAAGTCGCCAAACGTCGGAAGAGAGTAAAAAAAAGTAATACCTTCGTTGAGCTTTATCCCGAAACAGCCATGATGACTTTAATCCCAGTACAGCCTGAAATGGAAATATTCATCGACCATCTTTTACATCCCAGTCTCCGTTTTCAGTCTCCTTGCTTAAACGTAAACGAAGAACCAGAACAATGAAGTAAACATTTGGCTTTCTTTAAAGACAATTTTCTATTTCTATTTTATAAGTTTTTATTTAGTTCATTCATAGTATTTGTTTCTATGATCAGAATTTTGCCCCCAATTTTCAAAGTGCTTTCTGGTTAGTTATCGAGTTCAAATTTTGTGTACATACGGTTTGTCGATGACAATGGGCCGTAATTTTCAATTTAATATTTAAACGATTTTTCGCATATATCTTCGTTTAACGAACAAACTAAAATTGTCATAAATTTACTATGGGCAATATCGGATGAATCGGGGGAAAAAAATCCTTTGAAAGAAACTTTTATGAAAATTGTAACTTAATTTCTACGATTCTGGCAATTTTCGAAAATCACTTTTTTTTTTTTTTTTTTTTTTTTTTTTTTTTCTTCAAGTATTTGACGTCTATTATTTTAAAAATTTCAGCAACTTAATACGTATCGGATATAAAATTTTAAAAATTTTTAGAGAAAATAAAACAAACATCCCGCCCTCTTTTAGAATAAGAATTTTGAGAAACATAAATTGGGTGATTTTTCTACATTTATTTAAAAAATATATTGTAGTCTCAATCAGAAGGAGAAAAAAATCGGTTCTTCCAGCCATTATATGACTTGCAGACGGTGTCGCTCCACATGCGTTCAATTTTCCCTCTCTCAAATATCAAAGGAGAATAGCACTCTCTTCAACGGGTTGCAATAAAAGTTATTTCAAGGGCTGATTAAACATCTATTTCTGTTCCGTTTTTCAAATTCCAGATACTTTCCCTACTTTATGTATAAGTTTGCAATGCCATATTAACTCTTAATTGTTTTTATTCGGGATTTGCGCATAAAATTACATAAGCCAAAGAATTCTTAACAGCGATATATGAAACAAAAAAGTAGCAGAATATTCATTAACATAAATACATTAGTGCAAACAGTTGGTTAGGTTTAATATATTGTTATGGTTACGTTTTAGGGCAATAAGAAAAATTTTAACTTATTTCATATATAAATGCACATACAAATATAACTATACCTATATCTATAATGAATAAATGCAAAACAAAAAGCAGTTCAAAACCTAATCCAATGAAAGAAGCAACAAGTGGTGGTAATATAGCAAAATAAATTTAAATAAATTATACGTTTAAAATTTATTCCATGTTCTAATGGAAAGAAACCAAATGCAAAAATTAGAAATACCAGAAGCACCATCAGAAGCCTGCCCACCAGTTCGGTGGTTGTTGATATATAACATACAGCCTTGTGAACGGAGACAATTTGTCCGTGACCAAACTCGCACAGGCCTTCAGCCATAACAAACGGTCTTTGGCCTCGAAACTTTGATAAATATTTTCTGAGGTACCAACGACAGCTAGCGACTCTCAAGTAGTCGGTCCCCATTGTGCTCATTTACATGGTCGCATACCAAATCTACGAGTATATAATAATTTGTCTTTTCAGTGTACACATGTAAGTTACAATTTATATTAGCAATAACTATATTATTGATTTCTGATAAATATTAATTTAAATTAAAACTCAATTTTTTCCGAAATAATGTTAAGAACTTATAAAAAATACGCTATAAGGATAATGTTAATTTTATTAGCAGTTAAATTTTGCGTTAAACTTCCTTTCCTATGGCTTCTTAATTTCCACTTACCACTTCAGGCCAGGACGCAGTTTTAGAATCACGTTGGATGCAAATGGAGGAAAAGCAGTATTTAACCGCGAAGTTCTACTGTCTTAGTGAGAGAGAACCAGAGATTCTAGCTAGCACGCGTCCGCCTTTTTAGGCTATTCTTTCTTAAGCTATTATTACGCTCGGCCGTACTTTAGGCCCTTAATAGCTTCGCAGTTAATTAACGTTAAGGGGCCAACTCCGTTAGAATCTTGATAGCTTCGGCTATATCTTTTTAGTTGAGATTAGTTAAGTTTTAATTCTTAGTTTCCTAAGTTCAAGCCCTGGTGTCGGCTTTATTGTAAAACTCCAAGACGAATTTCTGGAATAATATAAGGTCTTTTAACCATTTTCAAGTTTTACTTACTGTCTCACGAACTCAAGCGATTATTCGCTTACTAGTTCTTAAGATTTTTCACTTTCAACTGTAACTAAAAGCACACAATTAGAGGATCTTACAACGCTGATAATAACAACATGAATATTTAATAGCCAGTACTTCTTTTCATGAAGTTTGCTTTGTTTAAAATTTAACTACAGCAACAAACTCTAACAAACTATTTTATATAGCTTATATATACATTTTTTTCGATAAAGAATAATAGAATAAAGAATAATAGTGTGCAAGGAAAGCACACTTATTTAACAATTATAAATGTTTAATTATTGGCGTTAGTTTAAAGTGAAAAGTGTCGACACATTTCAAGTTATAAATAGTTTAGCCTTCGTCCTTCTGATTTGAATTATCTCTACAAAAAAATATCCTATAAGTAGGAAAACCGGATATTTTGGGTCTAAAACTCAGATTTTTATTTTGAAGTAAATGATCTGAAAAGTAACAAACGATTTTTCCTTCAGGTGCTGTTAGATATTCAAATAGTTAGTTTCGTGCTCTTTATTCGCTTTCAAACTTTTATTTAAGCACTTGTTTTGAATGCGTTACAAATAGTATTGCTTCGTTTAAGTGAACATATAGGATTTTATTTTTTTTTTTTTTTTTTTTTTTAGAAATGTCAAAATTTGTATATTAATTCTCTAAATTTGTATATATTTGTATATATAACTATTTGTATATTAATTCTCTAAATGTCTCTTCAACAACGAATCTTAAATCAAATCATATTTTCTGTAAAGACATAGGTCCAACTGTATCATAAATATTATTATCGCAAAAAATTTGGATACAGTCGGGAGTGCGCTCTCGAAAAATTTTGAATACTGTTCAATTAATACTATCTCTATTCGATCCAGAGGAGATACTATTTGCATCAATTAAAGACAAAAGGTCGCCACTTGTTTTTTCACCATTTAAAACAGCATCCTGAATCCCTTCGAGAACCATCTCCTAAAAAAAAAAAAAAGAATAATAAACTGTAAATATACACGGATGCTTTTCATGACATTGTTGCGAACGTGCGGGTTCGTAATAAATTGAATGCACAAATCTGATGAAAAGTGAATAAAATTTATTCTTATCACAACAAATAAAAACAAAATGCTTAAATTTCCTTAGAGATATTCCTACAATATCGCAAATCTCACAGTAGTTATCTTTTAAACTACTATACACCTCGAAGATGGCATCCGTCCTAGTTCGTGCCGTACGGAATTGATCGTCATTTTCAAAACAAAGAAAGTTAATCTGATTTCACCGCGAAATCGCTAAAGTAAACAACAAGTTATCCAAACACAAACTGAATTGAGATGTTTCCTCCAGCTTTTATAAGCTTTTGAAATGCACGAGAATATTCTGGTATTTTCTCGTTTTTCCCGGAAAGCAAAAGTGTTCAATTACGAGATATCTATTTATTAAATGTGCGTGCTCCTGTATTTTTAATTTTTCGGCGTAGCTTTCCCTTTAGATAAGTCTCATGTTGCATTGCACGGGGATATAAAATAATTTTAATTAAAAATTCTACTAAAATAGCTAAATAAATACAAAAACCGAAACAATATAAACAGATTGAAATATAAAAAGTAAATAAATAATTGGGACTACCAGTGGCAACATAAACACTGTTGAGCAAAAGTTAAGGAACGCATAGTTTCTAAGAAGATTTGAGCAAACGAGATATAAATATAAAAACTGGTACAAATTATAGACAATGCGCTTACTTATGGTATGTATATCTTACATTCCTTTCAAAGATACCAAATATGATTATCTGAAAATTATCGATTTATGATTATCTAAATAGTTTTAAATTAATGAGTTAAATGGGAAAACGCGTTTTTGCTAAATTAAATGAGAATAAAACTTTTAAAAAGAGGACATCTTGTTCTCCATGCTGTCATTTACCCAAGTAGCACATGACGTAGCAAAGACGTTACCACGACCACTTTGCAAACTCTCGGACCAGTTTGCAACGTCTTTGCTATGTCATGTGCTACTTGGGTAAATTATAAGGATCATAGATGACGGCCTTGTACATCTGAGTTGTTATAAATCCTGCAGCAACACATGGAGGCAATTCAAAACTGATTTCTTCCCAAACGAGGATACTGCCGCCTCGATTTCCTTCAACATTGTTCTATGGGCTGTACAGTATTACTTCCTTTCTAAAGATCAGAATATAACAGAGTCACACTGTACAAAACATAAAGTAAATTCGGCTTAGTTCCCTAAGTCCTCTACACTAATACACATTCCCGTTTAGACAGATAGCCCTCCTGTGCTTTGCCGTAATGAAAAACAAACGAACACAGTGTAGAGCATCTGAAATGATCTGTGAACTTTATTGTACGCTACTGCTCTTGGCTCCCCTCATCCTGCGATATACTGATGTCTTTATAAGTCTTAGTCATTCTGCATGAAGAAACGTATGGAATACAAAACAAAGGGTCTTCTAGCAAACAGTTCGTGCATTTACTTTCTCCTAACAGTAGAACCAAATATTTTTCTTCTTGCGGTCAAAATGATCAGATGCAATCTGAGACATCTTGTGCTTTATTGCCTTCTAGCCCAAACAGTTAGGAAGCAATCATAGAATAAATTGTAACTTGTGAACGACATGGAACTCTTGTTTGAATTTTGTGTATTCGCTGAAAAACTGATTCCATAGGGTGATAACAAATCTGCAACTGTTATTTAGCCTATACAAGCGGTCACAGGGCCATTTTCATTTAACCAGTTGCTCGCCATCTTAGAGATCAGGTTTCTGTTTCCTTGGAACGCTATTAACAATATTTCACACAGAAATTTTCAATAAAAGTAAAATATAACGTAAATGTTTTTTAAAGATCAGTCTGTTCGCATACGTGTAATATCATTATACAATTCTGAGTTTAGATTTAAGAACCAACGTTCTTAAAAGAATAGTGGCGTCATTCCACTGCTTTTTACTAATTTTATCATCTATTTTTACTAATTTTATCATTTATTTCTGTAAAGCTTATTGCTTATTGTGGTCATTTACCGTGTATTTTTCAAAAAGGGAAAGCATAAAAAAAAATGTTCTTTAACTTTTTTGAAAATGAAAGACAGTCTGTTATTTAACCCAATGTATACATTCTGAGACAATTGCATAGAAGAGCTTAAATTTTTTTTAAAGAGTTCGCATGAGTTGTACATAGCTGAGAAACAATCAAAGGCAAATAATGTATGCCTTTTTTTAAATCAGGCAAATTGAAAGCAACTTTGTAATGCTAAAATCAGTTGACACTATTTTGCGAAAGACACACATTTTTCATTTGTGTTTCTAGGATCCGTTTTAGCATTTCCTCAGTATTTCAAACTTTTATCGTTATTATGTCCCGCTCAGGCCAAATAGCAGTCCTACAAAGGCCTTTAAATATTTTAATTGTTATAAAAGTTTTAAAAAGGTGGCTTTTAAAAAGACTGTTTAAAAGTTTTCAAATATAAGCTAGTTACTTTAATGAGACTTAATTTTGTTTATTGTAAAAATTTCAAGTCTGGTGATTTTCCTGTTCTCTTTTTCTCCATACCAGTTTAAATTATTTATACCAACTTCATATATTTAATTTTGAAACAATTTTCTCAAAATATTATTTTGAAAGTATAGCAAATAAACAGCACAACCTTTAGATCGTTTTAGCCGTGTAAAAAAACGAATGACATATGTATCATTTTAAATAAAAAAGAAAAGATTAGAAGTGGTTTATTTTTGAAAAAATTTCTAACGTCGACATAGCCTGAAATCCAAACTCCAAATAGTTTCCCTAGTTATGCCAAGAAAAAACCTTTAAAAGCAAATAAAAATGATACAACAGAAAAAAAAAACAAGAAATAGCGTTATTAGATTATAGTCTCACAGTTATTTGGATTATGGCAAAGCACAAAGGAAGGTTGTCTCCCTGGGAGAAGGCATAACTCTGTGCAGGACTTTTTAAGGAAAAATGACTCGCACTCACCTTAATGGAAAAAACTACAAGAAATCTCATGCAGCTAGTCCATTCGCCGGGATATCAGCAAGTGTCATAGACGCATGCTCACATAATGCTCAAACAGCACACGGTCGACATAAATAACCCTTGTCCCAAAATAAAATTCACGGTATTCGTTTAACTGTGCCACTCCCATTATTCTGTTACTCAATTTATTCTGACCGACTAGTACTGAGCCCGCAGTATCTCGGGTATGTCTGTATATACTTATTATTCAACAATTTGGAAAACAAATGAAGGTTACCACCTTCTACTGCCCAGTGTGTCTCAGTTGGTTGAGACGTCAAACCAATAACGTAAAAATCGAGAGTTCGATTCACATGGCCATTTAAATTTTAATACAATTTACTTTCATCATGAAGCACAGGAAAATTCATACTGCATTTAGCATCGTAAATTTAGAAATAAACTACACATTTGTAAACCTCTAACCATGATAAGGAACCACGGAAGTACAGATTCTGGGTAACAGTTGTAGAGTCATTAGAATATTTTCGATGTCAAGAAACTGAAGAAATGAGCAGTGCCCTCGCCGGGACTCGAACCTCTCAAATACGCGCCGACCGTGTTGACCATTACACCACGAAAGGCATGCTAAGAAGGTGGGAGAAATACCTTATACAATCTTTTAATCAATTATTCAGAATTGTTTGTTTGTTACTCTTAAAGCCTATTGATAGATATGTCAAATTATCCTTTCATAAAACATTTAATTTGATGACCTTGCATAATAGTTCCCTCTCGCCGTTGCAGATGTCGTAGAAATTAATTCTGAATTCATTCCTTGGAGCACTCTAAACTTCACCTGCGATACTTAATGTGATTTACGTTAATCGGGTACTTAAATTCTTGAGTAGTAATGAATTCAGAAATTTCATAAGGCTCATTTTATTTTAATATAAAATCCAAATTAAATAACTAAAGACTGTCAATTTTGTGAGCTTTCAAGGAAAATAACAAACTGAAAATTTCAAACTTCTGAATGGTCTGTAACCGCAATTAGTTGGAGTATTCGCAGTAACGTCATATATTTAATTCACAGTTTTGAATATCACTTACCAGGTTATTTCGCTCTTCAACCGTAATGGATGTTTTCTTCTTTTCTTTGTCTAACCTCTCCCTGAAATATAATGAAAGTAGATCAACTATCATAATATGAGGTAGACCAAAATATTGGGAAAAATTATCTAAGAGTTTTATCAGTTTAAATACGTTTATGCAGTACTAATAAAAATAATTGCTTTTGTGTAAATTGTGTTTCGAAAAAGACTCAACGAACTTTAAAACAGGGTTCTACAATTAAGACACAATAATACACCGAACAAATACTAATCCAGAAGTCAAACAACAAAAATCAGCGTTATATTTTCAAATTTGCACAGATTGCACAGATATTTTGTGCAAATTTGAAAATATAACGCTGATTTTTGTTGTTTGACTTCTGAATTAGGGTTCTAGAAATTGGGCAATGCCACGCCCGGTGGAAGGGAGATCATTTGTAGAGAGATTAGGTATACTTTTGGAAGCAGGAAAAATTAAAAATAACAACCAACTTCGCCTGGAATCGAACCACAGACCTCTAGAACACCGGCCCAGCGTGCAGAACCACTATACTGCGAAGGCAAGCTAAAAAGATGGGAGAAATATCTTATACATTAAGCATGATAATGGAAGATAGAAGGGTTAAGGAAGCAGATACTCTTGCAATAGCTTCAGAATAAATGCAATTTACCCTGCATCATATTTTATATTTCCGCCGTAGATAGTATTATTCTCAATATCATATTCAGAAGAATGAGATTTTAATTTTCTATATCAACTTCAATCGAAGAAATGAGTGCCAATTGTTGAACGTAGTGATTTACGAATTCTGTTAAAATCCCATTTATTGGCTTTTTACAAAATTTTAAACCATATTAAAATGTTTATGCCTTCAAAATAAGAATTTCTTAGAACTAACATTTGTTAAAATTTTTTATGTGTATACTGTATGTTGTCGCCAATAAAGTCTGCTTGGAGAGATTCGCGCCGGGGAAACGGAAAAAGTACCCAAATGATGTATATTCAATCTCGTCCCCTAACTTACACTTTTTTTTTTTTTTTTACTTCTTCCTTTTTTTCGAACTAAAACTTCCTACCAAAGATTTTTTTTTAATTGAAGAAATAAGATAAACTGTCTCTCAAAGCCATACCAAAAATAGAGCTTAATTTATTTCCCTTTTCTTAATTGAAAGTGCGATTGCTTGCATAAATGCACAAGAATAGTATTTTGAGTAGCATTAGTCGTTTTAAGCTATAACTTTCATTCATTTTTTTCTCCTAGTATATACTCCTTATTTAATTGCTGCATTGTGTAGAAGATCTTCGCCATAACCCATAGCTAGACTTTACTTTTATTTGGGCTAGCCAGCGTTCGTCAAGGTTCGTCTTTCAACGAACTATTACTTCGAACCGTTATGCAAGTAGAATTATACTTTACTACAACTGATTAAAAAATCAAACGAAAATTCTATAGCAGTACCCTGACATATCAGTGCTAGCAAAAAACTTTAAAATATTTTATCGTATTTTGTAAGAATTAGAATTTTACCTCAGAATACGCTGTTTTTTCTTCAGGTTGTCGCATTCTCTTTGCATCTTTAGAAGTCTCTGTGTGAGACGAACACATTCTCCGTCCTTTATTTGATACCGTTTAAAAATTTGAGCATTTCTTCTAGCTAAGCTAACATACCGTAAAAAATCTTCAGAAGAATCCATATTTTCCAGTTCTTCGAGATTTTGCATTATATTATCAAACTGCTGACGCAGAGACATACTTTCAGTGAAATTTGCAAAATTACTTTAAATTATTTAAATTTAAATTTAATGACTTAGTCTTTCGTTTAGTTGTTTCTTGCATTCCTGAACTGAGTATTCATTACCAGAGAAAAATTAAAATCAAGATAGTTATTGTAAAACACCATCCTTGTCGTCATCATTTTGAATTTTATAAGCAGGCACTATAATTAACTATATCATATAAAGAAATCATAACTGCAGTTTCTAAATAAAAAAGAATGTATTTATTTCCTCTGTAAAATAAAAATTTAAGTAATCAGGTAGTTATTATAATAAGCTTTAATATAAAATTTGAGACATTTATTTTTCAGCAACATTGTTGATATCTGCTAAAAGAGATTAGGTTATATAATGTAACATAATATCTTGTGTCTTTAAAAATAATTTTCGTTAGTATGGCAACAATACTTGTGCGGAAAACTATTCATGCTAAGAAACTGAGATTTTAAACTTTTATATGAAGAAAAAACAAGTTACTGATTTAAAAAAAAATCCCATGTTCTAATCAGAAAGTCATAAACACATGACTATAGTACACTGACTTTAACAAAGCACTCCAATCTAGTGCACTGGATTAAAATTGAAAAACTGTCTGTCTGGCTCATCTTTAGGTTCTTCTAACATTTCTCTATAGAGAAAAGGAACTGTGGCATAAAATAACCGATATTCAGCGCTACTTTGATTTTGGTATGAAATTAGTCATAGTGACAAATATAGTAAATTCTAGATGTTATTAACACTCTCTGTGTTATTAGAATACAAATCAAAGTTAGCAGTCTTCACAGATATTAAAATCGAAGTGTTGAAATAAAGAACTTATTCATTTATAAGTTTTAAATAGCTTCAGGCTTACCTATTAAGCAATATTATCAAGTGGTATATTCCACAAAAGAAGGTAACATGCTAAAAAGAATAATGCACAAGTATTATGCTAGTACAAAATCTTTTTTTAAGACTTCTGCATCTGAACTAAAGTAGAATCCTCTTTCGCCAACATATATCGTTTGGCGTTCGTTTGCTTTTGACGTTGCCGATTTTCCTTACGCAAAAGTGACATTAATTTATTCTAACATTGCCCATCTTTTGCTAATGAAACTCATACCAATTGTAATTGATTCCTGCAAAACTGAAATTTAGCTTTAGATTTAGTCATAATATCAGCAACCATTTCCTGTGTTGAAATATAAGACAGTTTTATAATTCTTTTATTATGCAAATCGCGTATATGATGAAATTTTGTATCAATGTGTTTTGTTCTCTAACTGCACTTTTCAGATTCTACAAGTTTTATTGTTGACTGAGTATCTTCAAAAACATTTATCGATAATGTCTGGGGTAGATTTAAATCTTCTGTTAGATTTGACAGCCACAATGATTCTTACTTTGCTTGTGAGAGAGCAACATATTCAGCTTCTGCTGAGAATAAAGAGCGCGTGTTTTTTTTCTTGAAAACCCCCGAAATACAATTTCTGCGTAATAAAATTACACTTCCTGACGTAGATTTTCTGGCTTCAATATCTTGTCCCCAATCAGCATTTGAATAAACTGTAAGACTAGGTTCTTCACTCGACGGAAATGTATAAAGATATATGCTTTGTTATTACTCAAATATCTAATGATTCTTTTTACAGCATTTCAGTCTTTCTATAGTAGATTATTACATCTGCTATAAGTAAGTGAGTTGAAACTGTGATATCTTCTCTTGTGATAGACGATATAAACAAAAGACTTCCGATGGCTTGGGGAAATTTATCATATGAAGGTAAAATATTTTCTTTCTTATTTATACTATAAGGTTCAAGAAAATTATGAACTAGCAGTGTAGATATACTCTCCGAAGAAAGAGAAGTCAGCAGACTTAATCATTATAGGTGAAATTATCTGAGAACTGAAGAATAAAAGTAGTAATAGGTAGTTTAAAAAACAATGGTTGATGAAGACAGAAAATTAATGGCTAAGATTACCTATAAATTTATAAAGTATTTTCTCTCTCCTTTGCGCATGCCTTCGTGGTGTAACTGGAAGCCCGTCCGACGCGTATTCTGGAGTTCCGGTGTTCGAATTCCTGTGAGAACATCGCATATTTTTCACGTTCCTGCGTCGATATAGTTTAGTGATTCTATAAATGACCCCCAAAAAAAAATTTTTTTAATGTTGGAAAGATAATTCGTCACCACCAGGATTTGGCGATCCCTAATTGACATTGCTAGAAGTCCTAATCCCCAGCTGCTAGAAGAGCCGCTTAGCATCTTTATTCATTGGGCTAGAGAACTCCAGCACGTTCTTCTCGACGAAAAGATGTTGATAATAGCAGCTGAAACCTTCCTCAATTAAAGAAGAATAACAAAAAAGACGCCCAGTACGCTAATTTGTGCGTTTCAATTCAGACGCGGAATGGATTTCTTTGAGAAAACTAAGAACGCTATGTCGCACCATAAGCACGCAGTGATGTCTTTATATATATGTAAATATATATGTATAATTGTGCAGGCAAGCCTTCGCTTTGTATTTACACCTCGTATTTTAATCGTAATCGAATCAAGCCAATTCTTGTAGGGACTCCACAGTCGATTTCTCTTCCTCTTCTGCGTCTGCAGTTCGAGCGTGAAGGACGGGCTTTTCGCCTTGTTCCTTCCCACGCCGATGGGCGCTTCTTCTTCGACTGCTACCGAGCTGAACACCATAAGGAATTTCGTGAACAACATATGAACTTATACGTCGACAAGCTGGTGAACTGTAAGATATTTCGAAAGCTGATTCTGGAATTCACACAATGCGAGTGAAGAAAGAATGAGGTGTAACTTCACCATTATTTTTGAATCCGTCTACTTCGGGGTTGTGTAACCATGTGCTTGCGATTACGAGCTTCTTCTGCCATTTTATAAAAATGAACCCACTGTTCCTTTCATCTAGTACTCATCAGACTATGTTCACTGTTTTGCTTTCTCAAGACCTTTTATCTGTGCAGATTGAATCAGACAGTATAGATCCGATGTGTTCCACAGTCGTGTATAAGTATTTCCTCATGTCATGTAATGTCTTTTATAATGCCTTTATTTTTTTTTTTTATAGTATTTCTAAAGGCAGTTGTCTTTTGATTTTTGGTGAGCCTAGTTGATTTAATATTTTTATCCTATTCTCTCTTATATTGTTACGAATTTGGTATTTAAAAAGCTAATGTTAGTTTAATTATAAATTAAATGGTTTTATTTCTCGCGCAGTGCAGCGCGTGACGAATATTAAAAGAAAGCTAAGCCGGAAAATTGAAAATACAAGAGCGCGTGCATTAAATAAATAAATATCTCTTTTTCATTTTGAGGAAGTACTGGAAAATTCTAGCGCGTGATTTTAAAATCTTATAAAAGGAGGTAAACATCTCAGTTTGTAGTAGTTGCTTAGTTTGTTGTTGTTTAGAAAACTGCTCTTGTTGATTGTAGCGAATTCGCGGATTAGCGTTCTTTAGCTGTTTTGAATTACGTTCTATTGGACATTTGAGTAGTTAAAAGATAACTACTGTGAGATATTGTAATACTGCATGATAATTTGAGAAGATTAAGCATTTTTGTTGTGATAATAATAAATTTTTGTTCATTTTTCATCGGACTTGTGCATTCATTTCATAACGAACCTGTATGCACGCAACAATTTTTGGTGTTAGAAGTGGGATTTGAATGCCAATAACAAGAGCGATGGAAGAGCAGTTAAGGCAATTGATAACAGCCTTTGCCTCGTTTAAAGAAGAAATGAAAGAAGAGATGAAATCTAGCCAAGGAAAGATGGAAGGGGCCGTCAATTCCGTTAAGGAAGAAATGAAATTGGGCCAGGAATCTGTTAAGGACGAAATGAAAGCCGTTCAAGCTAAGATTGAAGCAGGTCAAGAAGAAATGAAAAGAGAGATGAAGAATAAAAGAGAGATTACCTGAAAATGAAATAGAAATAATGAAGATTACCTGCATAATAGAAAATAAATTTGAAGCTATGGAAGGCAGAATTGACACAGTTGAAAATAAAGTTGGACTAATTGAAGAAAGAGTTTCTTCTGTAAAGAACAAATAGAAGGAAAGAGTTTCTGCTGTGGCCAACAAAATTGAAGGAAGAGTTTGTGCCGTCCAATTTGACTGCAGTTGCCAAAGAAATGGATACTTTAAAGAAATTCGTAGCGATGGCAGGGAACAATAGTGATGGTTTTAAATTTTTACCCATGCCTGCTCGTCCCTCTCTGAAGTTATCCACTTATGATGGGAAGACCTCCTGGCAAGTGTATAAAACACAATTTTCTATAGTGGCGGAGGCGAATGAATGGGATTCCCAAACTAAGGCCTGTCATCTCGCCGCTTCGCTGAGAGCAGACGCAGCGGATATCCTGCAGACGCATCCTGAAAACCAAAGACTTGACTTCGAAGCTCTATCCGGCGCATTGGAGCTGCGCTTTGGCAAGAAATGTTTAAAAGACTACAGCAGGCTTCAATTAAAATCCCACTAACAGAAGCCCACCGAATCACTCCAGGAACTCGCCGCGGATGTTGAAAGGCTGTCCCATCTCGCCTTTTCGGAATGCCCGACAGAAACAAGGGAAATCCTGTCCTTACAATACTTTATCGACCGCATCCGAGATACTGAAATACAGAAAGCTCTTCGAATGGCAGATGTAAAGGACATAAAAAGCACTCTGTTCGCCATGAAGTTCGAGGCAGCCCAGCAAGCAACTAGTAGAGATCGCTACCCAGTTAGAGCTGTGCGAGTCCATGAGCCAGTGGATCAACTGATGGCTCGTTTAGATGATTTAGCCAGACAAGTCGAAGATTTGATACGGAGTAGGAGCGAGAAGAAAGTGGCTCTAAGGTGTTGGAGATGTGGTAGTGAAGGTCACCTAAGACGGAATTGCAGAACACCCCAGGGTACGGAATATAAAGCAAATGATTTTACCAGACAAGTCAGTGGCTTGAGACGGAACAGAAGTGAAAAGAAACTAATTCTAAAGTGCTCGAACTGCGGAGTTGAAGGCCACATACGAAGAAACTGCAGAACACCCCGAGGTACG